GTTGCTATTGGATCCTTGGGTGTCGATGTAATGCTCGAAGCAAATGCTTAGGTAGCATTTGAATGCCACGGTTGATTAAGGAGCACTTAAAACTATCATGGTAAAATGCAGGCTCTGTTTGTTGAACAAGTGCTGTCAGCTGACCGACAAACAGTCTGTGCGAGATTTTGGAATAAGCGATTAGTTGCTTTGGCGATGTTTTCAATCACGTGATCGACAATCCAAGGTCAATCAACAGACCATCATGACAGAATTCAGGTTCATTTGGGTGTTGATCTAGCCAGATTATTTGAGAGAAGAGGCGAGAGGCGGGAAGGATAGGACAATGTGTGAGAATATCTTGGAGATAGGCGTTGAGTTTCTAAGAAGGAAGTCCAGCTTTTTTTCAGTTTGGATGGGGCAGAGAATAAGAGTGGCTCTGCGCACCACCTTAATGCCTGTGTGCAGTCAATAGGTAAATCCATACAATGCTTTGCGTTGAAATGTGTCTTTTTCGTAATAATGTCATCAAGATGAACAGTTACACATATGAGTCGACGTGGGTGAAGATGAGGGCATAGGTTAGTGCACATTGTTTCGTTCATGTGTTGAACGGTTAGGATGAGTTATGCAACCGTGACATGAAGGACTTATTCACTTGTCAGAGTGTTTGGTCATCACTCGTGCCAAATTATTTGCAGAGTAAGACTTGCCATCTGACTTGCAGACGGTGATGCCTCAACGTGGTCCCACCTGTGCAACCAAATCACGAAGTAGAACACATTGCAATGCGCCCAAGCCACGGATGATCAGTGAGTCAGCAGAAAGTTAGTCATTAGAGGGTCTCTACAGTAGCCCTGATGAAGTAATGCTTAGAATCGAGTCCACTCTTTCTAGCGCCTAATTGCGTGTCGTGGTAACTCGTTTACTGAAGCATAGTCAGTAGTCGGTCACCTCACACATCCATGTCGAAGTACAAATAGAAGGTGAAATTGGGTAAGGGTGCTTGGTTAATCATGCTCTGTGTGAGGCGACATGGAGC